GCAGTTTCTCCCTGCAAAATAATACCCTCTACATTTTTGTAGGTCACTTGAACTCAAATGTTTCTGCTGCGCCGAGTGCCAGATGTATAAGGTAAACTGCCCAGGGGTTTTTTAACTTACCCTGTAAATGTTTCCCACCCCTTCAAACTCACAGAAGGAAGAGGATGTATTATGTTTGGTACAATTTCCACTCTCCCCACCCCCACCCCACCCACTACACACACACACCATTTTCAATTCTTTGCCCCTCTATATATTCTCCCATGTTCTTTGACACTGATTTGCTTAGTATAGTAAGAAGAAATGGAACCTTCTATTTGAAAGGTAATTTACAGTGCTTTTTAAAAAATGCAACACTTCCAGAATTTAAGGTTCACTGGCTCAAAAATAAAGCTACATGACTGCTCTAAGGAGCTTTTACATACAGATGAATGTGGCTTCACCTTGTAGATAGAAAATGGTGGCTATGCACTGAGACAATATTGGTAGTTTCCTACTCATTCTTTCTTCTCTTCTGTGACTCACAGAACTGCAATTTGTTCAAGGACACAATATGCCCAGCTAAACAAAACTACAGTTCCCAGCCTCTCTTGCAATTAAGGACCGACATGAGACCCAGTCGTGTGTAAATGTTGCTAGATGCAGCACTTGGAAACTCCTTTTTACCTCTCTTTTCTTTCTCCCTAAAATGTGTGATGCTGGAGGTGGGCAGCTCTCTTGTGACCTCCAGGTGAACATGAGTATGGGAGGAATATCCTTAAAAATGGCAGAGCAGGAAGCTGGAAGGAACCTGGGGCTCTAAAGATAACGTGGAGTCACCCTACCAGGACTGGACTAACTACAACTAGAATTTGCATTGTGAGAAGTTAGGCAACTATAGTTACATTTCTGATATGCATACAGAGAACTTCCTAAATGAAATCAATATTAAAAGCAAACTCAGTCCTTGGAATTTTAAATATATATACACATATCAGATTTTAATATTTCTCATGGAGTTGAGTGGAGCCACTTCGTTTGTGACAAATGGCTGGTTTTCTGTGTATCACTTTAAACATAAAACAGAGGCTTACCTTAACTTTTTTACCCAGTCGATCCTTCCATTTTTCAGCAATAGAACCCTCCACCAACAGTAATCTGCATTTTTTAAAGCAAGCACGTTTGAAAATTAAAACATATTACTGAAAATTACAAGAAACCATTGCAAAGACTTACCTGCTTATTCTAGAATAGAATGACCACGTTTTAGAACAGTAATTTTTTTTAGGATAGTAATTTCTTTTTAATCTTTATTGTTGAAAGTATTACAGATGTCCCCTAGTTATCCCCACTGACACCTTCTAGCCTTCACCTGCCCCTCTGCCCCAGGTCTTTGCCACAATATTGTCTGTGTCCATGGGTTATGCATATATGCATACAAGTTCTTTGGTTAATCTCTTCATTCTACAGTCTTACAACAGTAATTCTTAACCATTTGGGAGCCATTGGCCCCTTTAAGAACAAATGAAGTGATGACCCCTCTCCCCAGAAAAATGCACACCCACAAATTATACACATATACCCTACCCAGTACTTGCAATTGAGTGGCCCAACTAAAAACTATCTGTAATCCCCTAGTAGGCAGACAGATCCCAGGTTAAGAATCCCAGAGTAAGATCTCTAGAGAAGGACAGTAGGACAGGATAGGCAGAGAAATTGTTCTGAATCCTTAAGGAGCAGATTACCTGGAACGCTCCTCATCTTCATAGCCCATGATGATGTACTCCTCATTAACATGCAGTGGAGGACACAGGCAGCCAGAGCTGGTGTAAAGGTTAACCGTGTCCCTTGGAATGTTCACCAGAGAAGACTTCAGGATCTCCTTCACCTCGACCACTGCAGTCACGTCATGGCACTTGGTCTTGACCTCTTTAACTTTAGCCCGAATGACTGGGTAAAAGACAATGAAGCTGATATGGTCATGTGATCCACAATAGGTGCCACCTTTGTCTTCAAAAAAGACAAGTAGGCTCCTGTCTAGGCAGTTCTTCTCTACTTGATGCTCAATGAATGGAGAGGAAAAGTCAGCCAGATTTCTGTCCTAGATGTTAGTGAGTGACACACTGCACAGCACACCTGTCCCCTCAATGTTCAGCCCTGATCCCCTTCCAATTAGTGTACAAATATAGTTGTGTGTGTGTATTTCATTGAGAAAAATGCATCTATATAATCAAAGGTTGGGTCAATCTGATGTAATTTCCCTCCAAAATTTCATTTGGATGTGTGAATATGGGTGTCCGCAGTTTCCACTGCTGCCAACAGGAACTTAAACTTTATTAATTTCACTATATGCAAAGACCTAGTACTTAAATAAGCTTCGTTTTCTTGTCAGTACTCTTTTATTGGGTCTATTAATGGATTCTCTAAAGAGTTGGGGGTCTCATTAGTGCTATAAAGATGTCCTGTTCTACTGTGTTTCCAAACTGTTTCTGTGACCTTTTCACCTTCCTCACTTTAGCTCCCTGTTTAGACACCAGCGCCTTTTTCCTTTTGTTTCAGTACAGATTTTCTTTTATCCGCTCCTGTAAGCATTCAACTTTTTTTTTTTTTTTTTTTTTTTGTAAAAACAGTCACCACTAGATCTTGCTTCCTCCATCCTCTTTGAAGTCAGACCCTTCAACATTCCTCCTGTTTAGAGCGCCTTTTTCCTTTTGTTTCAGTACAGATTTTCTTTTATCCGCTCCTGTAAGCATTCAACTTTTTTTTTTTTTTTTTTTAGTAAAAACAGTCACCACTAGATCTTGCTTCCTCCATCCTCTTTGAAGTCAGACCCTTCAACATTCCTTCCCCGCATGCGCTATGGAATACAGTCTAACGTGTCGATTGCATTCATCTACCTCTCTCGATGGATAAACCGACACCCCGTTTACCTCACAAGCGTTGGCTTCACTTCTCAATAAACAGACAAACTGCCTTAAAAATAATCAATTCCCACTAGATCTTGCTTCCTCCATCCTCTTTGAAGTCAGACCCTTCAACATTCCTTCCCCGCATGCGCTATGGAATACAGTCTAACGTGTCGATTGCATTCATCTACCTCTCTCGATGGATAAACCGACACCCCGTTTACCTCACAAGCGTTGGCTTCACTTCTCAATAAACAGACAAACTGCCTTAAAAATAATCAATTCAGTGGCAAAGCTGAAGTATTTGACTCATAATCTAGCAAGTACAGATCTGCTTCTTTCCTGTATTTCTCCTCTTTGGAGGGGCCAAATTCTTTAGATTCCTACTTGTGGTAAATGAGCTCTTTTTTTTTTTTTCTTAAAGGGGGAGTTTGAAAAAGCCTGCGAAGTAAAAAATGTCAATTTGTAAGAAGCCAATGGCTCTCTCCCAGGCACCCTCATTGCTCTAGCTCAATATCCATGGATGTTATATGGAGAAAAATACGTGTCCAAATGAATCCCCTTTTTAAAAGCCCCTTAGGCACATATCAGCAGATCACTTTCATCTGAGTCACCACATATTTTAGAAGTTTTGGACTCAAAAAAAAAAAGGGAAAAAAGTAACCCATGAAAATTAGCCAACTAATAGCTGCATCCATGCCCCAACTCCACACAGAAACTTATCTCATTTCCCACCAGTACAATGTGCATACAATAGAAATTAAGTTACTAATTCTAAAAAATTTAGGACAAAAACCTCATTTTTGCTTCACGGGTATTTTAATTTTCAGAAAATTGGGTGCCTCAAATATGAGAACTTACAGCAAACAAAATACAACCGCCCCTGCTTGGTGTGACTTGTGAGTAAAGGAATCCCTTTCTGTCGGTGTTCTATTCTGTATTTTAACAAAAGATAAGATTTCCCGTTTGGAAATGTCATTTTGGAGAATCAGATGATAAATTCACAACCCAGTCAGCAGACATTTTGGGATCCTGGTTTATGTGAATGTGCTTCGCAGCATCCATCAACTCTTAGAGATTAGTGAGCTGTGCAAACGTTCTCAGACTAATGATTTATTTACCCAGTGTGGCTACTATTTTCATTAGAAATTTTTAGCACACATACCCCCTCCAAAATAAATATCTCTCTGCAAGACTTACTTTATTATTCAGTAATTTTATGAAAGCTCAAGAAATTTTACCTGAACTAATTCTGAATGAAGCAGAGGTTTTGTCTGAGTTATCAATTGCTCCCACCCCCCCTTTGTTTTCTCAATAGACACATAGATATTTATGAAAATCAGTATATTTGGGGATTTTAAATTTTTTTCAGATGGTGTTTTTTTTTTCCTGCTATTTAATCATTGGAGTGCCTGCCTTCCCCACAGATATATTTGGGGATTTTAAATTTTTTTCAGAGGTTTTTTTTTTTCTGCTATTTAATCATTGGAGTGCCTGCCTTCCCCACAGAAGCTCTAAGTAAGACCCAGGCAAGTGAAAATCCTTAAACTGCAGGCAACCTGGTTATTATTGTTTGGTTATGAGAAAGTATCTTCTTTCCACTGATGGTGATCTGTATCCCAGTTGATGTGACAGCATTCTTTCAGCTACCTTGTTGAAAATATTCTCTTTCCATGACTTGCAACCACTAGTATTTTGACTTTCAACAAAAATAATAGCATTATGAAAGCTGAATAAAGTAAAAATTGATTAAGAAAAGTAAAATAAATACAAACTCAACTGAACTTCAAGCACATAATAGCAGCACTATGAAAGCTGAATAAAGTAAAAATTGATTAAGTCAAGTAAAATAAATACAAACTCAACTGAACTTCAAGCACCTCTCATGCTCAGTTCCCCCTCAGGCTCTGGAGGGGGAGAGTCCCTCCCACCCAGTTTGAAATGTATCTCTATACTTGGTTACATGATTCTATGACACAGCATTGCTACCTGATATGCTTCAAAATCAATGATTTGTTAAGAATTTTGCCCACATCAGACATTTTAATTATTTGGGACAGGTATCCTCTCAAAAGTTGTCCTTATTTATTTGCTTTTAAGTCTTATTCTTGAACTGCTCACACACACACACACACACACACACACACTTCTTTACACAGCAGTTTATAGATCAACCATGAAGTTATCCTTACCATAGTTGTAATTGTTTCGGAAATAGGTCTTCTGTGTAGCTCTAATAGGCTTACATTTGCAGCGTTCTGAAAAACATAACGTTATCTGTAAGCAAAATTTCAACATTAGCTTTCATTTATTTATGCACACTTTTTTGGTTGGTTAGATTCAATTTGGTGGCGAAAAGGCTCTTTAGAGAGTCTATGTGTCTGATCTCTTTGTCTGGAATTACATTCATCTTCATTCTCTCTGCATAGACTTTTTTTTTCAGTAACAGTAGACTCCGAAGTTCCTACTCTCTAACAAATTACCCAAATCCTGAGGAAACACCTTCACCACCATGCATGAGGAGAGCATGACCCCTGAATCCTGAAAGAGGATGCTTCGTGCTTATGAAAGTAGACTCAACGCCTAGTGAAAGGCAACTTCCTTCTTATGCTCAGGTAACTGGTTTACCCCTCAGAATACCCCTGCATTCATATACGCCTTACAGGTGACACAGCACTCCTCCAAATCTTAGTTCCTGGACCGACAAGCTACTCGATGAGATAAGCAGGTATTATTACAACCTAGTGCACTTTGTGAAGTTTTTAAGAAGAGAGGCTCAGCCCCTTCATAGGCAGAATACCTGCTATTTAACTCAGTGGCATCTTTACGTTTAGTGGAGGAAATTACTACATGCATATTTTGAAATGAGAAGCTTCATGTTGCTTAAATATCTGGTGAGTAGTGACCAGGACACATTTTATGTGTAATACAGGTGTATGTCATAGAAATTCTAATGATCTCAAAATGTTACAGATAGAGGACAAATCATTTAACATCTTGGAAATGGACTACTATATTGTTTACAGGTTACTTAGCTGAAAAAATATATCAAATATGCATCATAACATGGTAGGTTGTTAGTCATTAAAGTCAATATAAGAACAGAAAATAACACACAATTATTTTAGAAAACATTTTAGTTTGTGTAAAGGTTATTTTTTTAAATAGTGCTTCAGAGAAAGCTTCATTAAAAATGAAATGGTATGTGTTTCTTCTATTTTGACACAGAGAAATAAAGAAAAAAAAGAACACATGAATCACAGTAGGAAGCCAACAAAAATATTTTGTTTAAAAAGTGTTTTGTGTTAGCATTGAGATGAATAAAAGGCAGAAGCTTTTGTTGACTACGTTATGTTTTCACATCAAAATAAATTTTAATTTCAGTCGAACTGCAGAGGACATGTTTTAAAGTACCCCAGTCCCAAGGAGAGTAGAACCGTTATCACTTTTTAGATTCTGGAACTAAGCACCTCAACTGGGGGCAGGTGCTCTTCTGCAGAGCAATAGCGGCAACAACTGTTGTTCTCGCCCACAGGAGAGGTGAGAAATTTCTCATGGCTACGCATAGCACTTCCCCTGTTCTGCAGATAACTTTTCACACACAATTTCTGCAGAATAAATATTTCAAGAAATCAAAATAAATTTTAATTTCAGTCGAACCTGCAGAGGACATGTTTTAAAGTACCCCAGTCCCATGGAGAGTGGAACCTTTATCACTTTTTAGATTCTGGAACTAAGCACCTCAGACAGGTGCTGTTCTGCAGAGCAATAGCGGCAACAACTGTTCTCGCCCACAGGAGAGGTGAGAAATTTCTCATTGCTACGCATAGCACTTCCCCTGTTCTGCAGATAATTTTTCACACACAATTTCTGCAGAATAAATATTTCAAGAAAATAAATAATGGGTAATATCGGTGCTGGTTGCTATTTTAAAGAATAATAGCTTTCTTATTAGCAAAACATTTATATTCCCGTTAAAAGAAAATGGAAAGTTATCTAATTCTACTCTTTAACTTTATTTTGTACAGAAATGTTACACATTTTTTAAGGAAAGATGTTCTTGAGATGAGACTATTTCTGAAGATTTACAAATTATCCTCACCCATATATAGATAGGGCATGTGCTTTTCTGCATTTAAAAATAGATATCTAATGCCAGGACCGGTGTGGCTCAGTGATTGAACTTTGACCTATGAACCAGGAGGTCACAGTTTGATTCCAGGTCAGGGCATATTCCCGGGTTGCGGGCTCGATCCCCAGTAGGGGCATGAAGGAAGCAGCTGATCAATGATTCTCTCTCATCATGGATGTTTCTATCCCTTTCTTCCTCTCCCTTCCTTTCTGAAATCAATAAAACATATTTAAAAAACAAAAACAGATATCTATCAAAAATAATGCATGTAGATAAATAACTACGTATTTGTAATTCTTCAGAAATCTGCACATCTATATATATAAAAGCCTGAGCAACCATTCAACTGGTAGCTATGACACACACTGACCACCAGGGGGCAGATGTTCAATGCACAGGCATGGAAACATGGAACAGACTGATGAATCTCAGAGGGAAGAGGGAAGGGGAGTGGGCGGGAAGAGATTAACCAAAGATTTTATATGCATATCTCTAATTAAAAAAAAAAAAAAAAAACTCTTGGCAAAAATATAGTCACTGGACTGAGTCTAATATGTCATTACCATATAACTTTGCTTGAAGCACAAATAGATTTCATAAAACTTCCCAAGCAGAGATTTTTCAAAAAATATATCATAAAGGAAGATTTTAAGTAAGTATTTACATAACTATATATACACAACTACATATACACAATTAGACCATTTCCTACCTAATGAGCTAAGCAATTATATTCTTGGGACAAAATTTTGTTCATCCTCAATGCATTTATCTCTGATTGCCTCAGAAGTGGCAACGCCATACCATATATGTCACCCTTGCCATGCTCCAATCCCTCGCTCTTGCTATAAGCAGTTATCTGTCTAGTTGAAGTAACTAGTAGCTCAATGAAATAACAGGGTAATAAAGAGGAGTGGAATTTTATATCTACAAAGTTCAAATGTGTAAGGACTTCCTTTCACTTATTTATATTCATGAAAGTGTGTCTTAGAACAATAGAGCTGGAGGATTATCCTTTTCCTAATGTTTACTCACATCTACATATATATTCCCCCAAGCCCAAAAATTGGAAAATTGGAAAGAATTATAGAAGGATACACTGCATACATTGTTTATTACATTTTTTGTACCTGCCACCCTATATCAGACTGTAGCAACTTCTTTTTCTTTACTACCAATAGTTGATTTCTTAGACTTTTATAGCGCCACTAGTATTATTATTATCTCTACTCTAATTTAATTTGCCAATAATTTTGCTAAATAGTCTTCCTCTCCAGCTTCCCAATGGCACAAGGTTTTTAAGTTTTATAGTGGCAAAATAAAATCTATTTACTGCACTTTGCACAAAAATAATTAGAAATTAATTTGCTTGCATTCCATTGTTGAGAAGAAAGGCTTGTAAAGAAATTGCCTTGGTGTTCTTATCTAAGAAAAAAATATGAACAAGGAGCTGGCAGCAATAAAATAAGTGACAAAGAGTTCTTCAAATGTAGGGAAGGTTTTAACATGAGTTCATCACCCTAGTACAAATATGAGTTTGCAAAATTAACATGCCCAGCACTCCATAGAGCAGACCATGGTCTGCACTTCAGGGAGATGCCCTACAGTGCACTGTGGTGCCTGAGAGGAAAGTGGTCGCACACTTTGTTCAGTTTTCTGCTCATAAATATTGGCTCATTTATTGAAAACACACAAAGATGGTATTATTTTAAAGGGTCATGTTGTTTTACAAGCTCTAAAGAATTTTAAGTACCTGATACAAGTACGCAATTTGACTCTCACTGGACCTTCACTATTGAATGCCACCTTGTTTGAGTTCAAGCTGAAGTGTGATATGACTCTCAAGCTAACCCTGACCTTTGTTTGAACATTGACTTCTTTTGGGTGTCATCCAAAGCTGTAAGACTATAATTAACTTTGCCAGATTTCAAAACTCCTATAACCTTCCATGTACCATGACTTCGGAACACTACTATCCATGAATGAGTATTTTTCTGCTTTTTTAGGAAAAGACTTTAGATCTGTGCTCAGGATTTATTGTCAAAAAGAAGGGGAGGGGGATAAAATACAATTCTATGTATGTTATGATTCTCACTGTAAGTCTTTCACGACTGACTCTTTCTAGTCAGACCAGAGTTTAAGTCATTGTAATTCACACCAAATGCATTCAGCGTATGTTTTACATCCTGGCATTTGACCCTAGAATCCCCCTCATCCTCTTTCCCTCCATTTTAAGATACATTAGAGCAGACCACAAATTTTAAAACAGATGCAAAAATAAATTTTTTATGACTCAAAAATCTATATCCTTAACTATGACTTCTTTATTGAGATCCAGATCTATATTTTTAACAGCCTGTAAGAGTGTCCATAGCATGACCTTAAGTAGTTTTAAATATACGTCAATGTCCATCACACCATGAACTTGTCTTCCTCCTTTGGAAATAGTCTTTTCTGTCTCTACAACCCCGGGATAACCATGCTTCTGTAAATGTGAGATGGGAAAGGAAATGAGAACTAACATTTGTTGAGTCCTTTTAGTCACTAACATGTTAATTCATTCTACAAATATTTTATCATGCACCTGCTATATGCCAACCTCTGTTCTAGACAAGTAGGACACCTGATGGGCAATACAGACAACGCAGAATAAGTTACAGATATTGAACAAGTAATTACACCTAAAATCATTTCTTTTCATATGTGATGAATGCTATGAAAGAAAAGTACAATGAGCAAAGAGAACATGTAACCTGATCATCTAAATTAGTCTGGTCTTCTGACAAATTTCAAAGAGAACGCGGGGGTGGGGGGTACTTATATGCACAGCCCATGGACACAGACAATAGTGTGGTGAAAGCCTGGGAGAGGTAGGTGCAGGGTGGATCGGGTCAACAGGGGAAAAATTGGGACATCTGTAACACCTTCAACAATAAAATAAATACATAAAAAATAACAGTCCAGTCTTCAAAGTCTTCTGAGAAAATGACATTTATGCTTAAAACCTGAAAGATGAGTTATAACAATCTAGGCAGGAACAATATCTTAATATGTAAGATATCTAAGAAGTTCATAAAGGAGAATGAGAAAGAGCATCCAATGACAGGGAGTCAAAAAGCTGAAAGA